CGTCTTCTGAGAGATTCGTTATTCAAAGACTAATGAATAATTCGTCTATTTTCATGATTGTGTCGAAGCCAATTAATCAGAGTAGAGCGTTCCTTTCGCTTAGCGACGAAATTACACAACTACATGCAACAGAAGGAAGAAAGAAACGTACATTTTTGGATCTCGAGATGACCAGAGACACGTCAAAGCGGGGACATTGTTTTAACAGACGAACCGTTTGTTCGACAGGTGATAAGGTATTTGACATCGAAACGGGCCGAGGGGTTGCGCAGGCTGGCGGTGGTCCAACGCAGCATTTCACCATCATCTTCAACACATTCGTCATGATGACTCTTTTCAACGAATTTAACGCTAGGAAAATTCATGGTCAGCGTAATGTCTTCCAAGGAATATTCACCAACCCCATCTTTTACTCTATCTGGATCGCCACATGTCTGTCGCAGGTAGATCATCCTTCTTGCATTATTCTACCAACCTTTATGATTAATCATTAGAGCTTATATTATGACTATGTGTCCATCAACGTTCGTGGTGTTCGTGTTGATACATACGATACAAACGTTTAGAATGGATAGATATTGGTCAATATTGGTAGAACATTTAGAGAGCGGTCCATTTTCTCTGAACATTTAATAGCATAATTGTAGCATAGTTGTAACATAGAAAACGTTATTGAGGAGATTTATCGACACTTGTTCCTAGTTTCTACATTGTGTTAACATTGTGATAGCCACAGTTTAGATAGATTTATACTCTTTCTTTCTCTCTCTCTCTCTCTCTCTCTGTCTCTCTCAATTGATTGAAAGAATAGGTGAACAAAGGGAAGAGATCTGGCCAAGCAGAAACCAAGAGATGCCAAAGAAGTTTCTCACATTTACACTTGGGTGACAACGATTGCCGTCATTTCCTCTGTCTCTTCAATTAAAATCCTGTGTCTGTTTTCTAGGTAGTTATCATACAATACGGTAAAATGGCGTTCAGCACGAAAGCTCTCACATTAGAACAATGGATGTGGTGCCTGTTCTTCGGAGTTGGTACTCTGTTGTGGGGCCAAGTAGTTACGACTATTCCTACGCGCAAGATTCCTAAAATCCTTTCGTAAGTTATGAATATATATTCACGTAAAAAAACTACCATATTTTTTTTTTTTTTTTTTTAGTGTTTAGATGATGAGAGATACTTCTGTTCGATTTAGCAGGCGCAGCCTTTAGCAGCTTGATCTTAAAAATATATATAAAAAAGAAAATACCGATGACGTCCGGTGTCAGAGAACATGTATTTCGAAATGACGATTTTTTTGGTTACATACTCTCCTTTTTCTTTTTCTTTTT